ACAAAGTGCATGCCAGGAGATCACCCCAAATTTCATCCTGCAGTTTTCCATCTTATATGTGTGTGTTTTTTCTAGATGCAATTAACATGGGAATGGGCATCAGACTTCCACTAGATTCCACTAGATTTCCAGAAGTAGCTTTTACATCATATGAAAGATCACATTAAAAAAAAGAAAGTTATCAGGTAAGGAAATGTTAGGAAAATGGAATAAAGTGCTGTCTGAATGCAGCCCAAGACAAGAAACACAATTGATTAAAAAGACACAGCTGGAACAGCTCCACTTCAGTTTTATCATTGGGCCCCAGCACAGTAGTGTTGGTCTCTAGAGAGGGATCTCTTTGTCCTTTTCCAAAAAAGCTGAAGAAAGATAACCAGATGATGCTCCCTTCAAAAAATCTTCTGCAGACAATGTGCCACTACTAAGAAGACCCTGAACTTGATAGCCAGCCACTGGCAAAGGCACCTGTAATGTGGATTCGATTGATAATTAGCCAGAGCAGAGGGAAGAATATAGAAGGAAACCTTGAATGTTCCTCCACCAGTGACTTCAGGGCCAGTGGAATATGAAGATGGGCCACAACCACAGCAGGGCTGGCCAACCACATTTGGAAGTTAATACAGATTACTTCAGAGATGATCCCTGTAAGACCAGAGTTTAAAATTACCCACCTGCAACACTACCAGTATACCAAGTTTGCTTATTAAAACAGCAACAGATAGATGGCAAGTGTGTTTCTGCTTCAAGAGAACTGAAAGAGAGGACACATTTTAAGGAAGATTTCTGTTGCCTTGGAAAATTGGAGGTCCTTTTTGGTGTGTGTGGTTTTTTTTTAGGGGGGGGTTCAAAAGAACATGAATCTTCACAACAGACACATTACCATTGCTGATACTCCCAGTCTTGTGTCACATTGAACTGAGGTGGGCAATGAAACTGTCACGGCAGAGCAAAACAAAGAATATTGCCCTGCAACATGCCGTTGGAAGAACTAGGTCAACACTCCCATTCTTGCCATGCTTTTTCATTGCTTACCCTCACACCACAGTGCAGAAAAAAGGGAAATTTATTCCCCACATCAATAAATTATCCTTTGTGTTGCACTGCCGTGTGAAAACAGGCAATGGAACTGTCACAAGGCAAAGCTGGAAATCTGATTGGCACCCTGCCTCTCTGACATCATCACAGTGAACCCTGACTGGCTGGGATCATGCAGTGGTTGAGAAAGTTGGCCTAATAATAGGGGAGGAAATATCACTGAAGGAGCAACACAACACACTGGGGACAAGCTTGGGGAAACGTTAAAAGGCTAGGAGGGTTTTCAACACCCACAAGAGCAAACCTTACCCCCTCAAAAAGTGTTTGGAGCGCATACTTGGTGCAGCTCTAGTTCTTACCCCTACGACTCCACTCTTCAATCTCTCCTTCAGTTAGTGATCCTGATACCTCTTCCACACTCCTCCGTAGTGTTGAGGGACCCGCCAGAACACTATAGTACTGTATTTTTCGCTCCATAAGATGCACCTAGTTTTTAGAGGATCAGCTCAGCGTTTTGGGGGGGATCAGCTCACAGTTGTGCAGCTTCTTTTGCAAAAGGGAAAAGCTCCTTTTTTGAGGATCAGCTCAAAGTTGTTGAGCTTACTTTGCAAATGGAAAAAAATCCTGTTTTTATGGGGTTCAACTCACAGTTCTGCAGCTTCTTTAGGAAAGGAAAGAGAGCCGTTTCTACAGTTTCCAGACAGATAATCTAATCAGCCAGTCACATGTCGCTGGGGAAGCAAATGGCCTCCGTCTGCAGAAGAAGAAGAAGAAGAGTTTGGATTTGATATCTCGCCTTTCACTCCCTTTAAGGAGTCTCAAAGCGGCTAACATTCTCCTTTCCCTTCCTCTCCCACAACAAACACTCTGTGAGGTGAGTGGGGCTGAGAGACTTCAAAGAAGTGTGACTGGCCCAAGGTCACCCAGCAGCTGCGTGTGAAGGAGCGGAGACGCGAACCCGGTTCCCCAGATTACGAGTCTACCGCTCTTAACCACTACACACAGAAAGAACATTCAGCAATGGAGGCCTGGGCAAGGGGGCGGAAAGGGAGCCAGCGATCAACCACACATTCGCTCCATAAGACGCACAGACATCTCCACTTACTGTTTAGGAGGAAAAAAGTGTGTCTTATGGAGCGAAAAATACGGTAGGTGTTGCGGGATCTACCAAAATACCAGTGAAGGAAGCTGCAATGGGCGGAGGCAATCAGCAAAGTTGCCTCCCTCCACAACAGGAAGTTTCTGCTGGGTATAAAGCCTTCCTTCAATGGAAGGAGTCCTTCCATACACAGAAAGTGAAGTCTGGATACAACTCACCTTGATATATGTTACTGAAGGCTTCATGAACTAAGGGATGTTCTTTCAAATAGAAGAAGAACAGGTTTCTTGCTCCTTCTACAACTTGCTGAGTTGAGGAAAATCTTGAATGATCTCGCCATTTCAAGTTCTGATCTTGTAGAAGAGCCCTGGAATCAGGCAGGGAGCCTTACATAAGCCATCTTGGACACCGAATAATGGAAAAGGATGGTATGAATGTTATAAATACATTTAAGAAGAACAGGGTGGATTGCTGCTTTGACCATAAACATGACAAGATGCCTTATATTGAGTAAGGCCATTGGTCCATCTAATCCAGTATTGCCTACGCTGACTGGCAGCGGGTCTCCAGATAATTTTTTTCTGCCCCACCTGGGGAACATCTGCATGTGGTTTCATAATTTGTTGGAAGCTGCCCAGACAGTAAAACAACAGTAAAAGTGCAAAGAAATGTATGCACAGATGTGTGTTCTCCCTGCACGGAATCTGCGAGTGGCTGGGCCCATATCGTGGTAAAGGTAAAGGTAAAGGTACCCCTGCCCGAAGGCCAGTCGTGTCCGACTCTAGGGTTGTGAGCCCATCTCACTTAAGAGGCCGAGGGCCAGCGCTGTCCGGAGACACTTCCGGGTCACGTGGCCAGCGTGACAAAGCTGCTCTGGCGAGCCGGCACCAGCACAGCACACGGAAACGCTGTTTACCTTCCCGCTAGAAAGTGGTACCTATTTACTACTTGCACTTTAGAGGTGCTTTCAAACTGCTAGGTGGGCAGGAGCTGGGACCGCAGACGGGAGTTCACCCCGCTGCGGGGATTCGAACCGCCGACCATGCGATCGGCAAGCCCTAGGCGCTGAGGATTTACCCACAGCGCCACCTGCGTCCCCACCATATTGTGGTAAGATACTATAAATACACAGGACAAACATCAATCAATCAATTTCCTTTATTGGCATAGTAAGAGTACATCATATACATGGATCAGAACACAACATGGGTAACAAAACATAGTAGGAGGTTCTTTAGGATAAAACTGTACAGACATTGTGAGGTACAAAAGTGGCTCTTAGGGCTTATAGTGACGTAATTTCATGGCATCACTCAAAAATCTTGCCACATTCTCCACAATGTCCTTCTTACAATTATTCAGCAGATAGGACACGCTGGAAGAGTCAGTGCGATAGATCCCCTCCTTCAATAAGGGAGTCAAATACTTATACATTTTTGCATAAAGCGGGCAATGAAATAAAACGTGTGTGATGGATTCGACCTGTTTTGTGCCACAAGGGGCAGTCCCTTTCAGAATATGGGATTTTTGAGAATGTACCTTGCAAAACTGCAGACAGCAAAACATTAAATCTTGCAAGGGAAAGAACTCTGCATAAATGGGGATCGTAAACATCCTGGGTTCGAACAGGCCACAACTATACTGATTACAGATGCAAGTAGCTTTTGGCATAGGTATGTATCCTGAATCAACCAACTTGACTGCTGGCTGGCAGACTATTTTGCAGGGTCAATCCTGGGTTAAGGAATTCCCTGTGAAGTACATCAAATAGGGGTGATCCCTTCAGGGCTGCCACTTTTTTGGGGAGTGCTATGGCCATCAGCAGGGACGTGGGTGGCACTGTGGGTTAAACCACAGAGCCTAGGACTTGCTGATCAGAAGGTCGGCGGTTCGAATCCCTGTGACGGGGTGAGCTCCGTTGCTCGGTCCCTGCTCCTGCCAACCTAGCAGTTTGAAAGCACGTCAAAGTGCAAGTAGATAAATAGGTACCGCTCCGGCAGGAAGGTAAATGGCATTTCCGTGCGCTGCTCTGGTTTGCCAGAAGCAGCTTAGTCATGCTGGCCACATGACCCGGAAGCTGTACGTCAGCTCCCTCGGCCAATAAAGCGAGATGAGCGCCGCAACCCCAGAGTCGGTCACAACTGGACCTAATGGTCAGGGGTCCCTTTACCTTTACCTATGGCCATCAGCTCCCAAATGGGCATCCGGATAGAAGCACCTCCCCCTGGACCTCTGTAACATGGCACCCCTGATTCCCCGAGGCGAGGGTAGGTGGCTTCCCAAACTCCTCCGTCACCTAGACTAAAGATCCAATCCAATGCCTTATCCGCCAACAAGTTGTAACAATTGCTATGAGGTTGGCAATACTCTCCATACAGGCCCAATTCATCTGCAGGCAAATTCCTCCCTGGCCCCAAATACGGCAACCGAATATTTCCATAGCAAGGGCATATTCAGAACCTGCCTGCTCCCCACCACTACACAGGGCGGGAGGATGGGGAATCCAGCTTTGACTGAGCTAACGAGTCTTTATATGCCCAGTGAGAGGACCTGAGTGAAGACCAGGAGCTGAGGTTCTCCACAAAGCCAGGCCCACCCCCTGCTTGCTTCTGATAGGTCTGTTCAAACACAGCTTGCCTGTGATAGGTCCCCTTGAATACAAGACTCCCAGCAACCTACATAGCCAGAGGTCACCAGCCTAGCTCCCAGTCACCAGCCTAGCTGCCACATTCTGGATTAGTTGTAGTTTCCGGGTCACCTTCAAAGGTAGCCCCACATAGAGCGCATTGCAGTAGTCCAAGCGGGAGATAACCAGAGCATGCACTACTCTGGTGAGACAGTCTGTGGGCAGATAGGGTCTCAGCCTGCATACCAGGTGGAGCTGGTACACAGCTGCCCTGGAGACAGAATTGACCTGCACCTCCATGGACAGCTGTGAGTCCCAAATGAGCATTCCTTGTGAGTAAGGAAGCAGCATATGACCAAGGGAGCACTACAGTTTCAGCAAACTGGATCAGGGCAATAGCTGCATGTTCACCTCCGGGGGGGGGGGGCGGGGCGTGTCTTTTTTTTTTTTTTTTTTTTTGCTTTATCCCTAAATTCACCCTTTCCATTATTTCAGTGCTATGCAGGCAAAACATTCCCCAAATGGCTTCCAGGTCTGGTCATTTCACAGATCAGCAATTAGCATTGTGTTTCCCACATCACAATATTTATTTTTTCCTTAATTGTGCAATGCACATGCAGGGAATGAGTCCTGCATCCTCAAAAAGCCCAAAGGAAACATAGTCTATGACTCAACCCTAAGATCATGAACATTTTGTACTGTAGCTGCCACTTACAAAAAAATATATAAAAAATCTGTCCGAAATTCGAACCCGTCATCTCTCAAACATTTAAATATAATTCATTAAAAAGAGAAAGGGAGGGGAGGGAATCATGTAGCAACTGCATAACAAGAAGAGGGAAAATGTACACATTCAAAACATATGGGTGATCTTTAGAAAAATCTCAGCATCACTTCATAATTATATACTACAAGTTTTAATTAACTAAAGCTCTGAAAATCATAATGCCTTATTAAAATGCAATTAATCCTTTGATTAAAAAACAAAAAGCACAAGTATTTACAACAAAAACACAAGTAGAATAATTACAAATATCATGTACCCATTTCTTTTATTTGGGTGTCACTTATGATGTCTCACATTCCCTTCATTAATTCAAATACACACATTATCTCAAATCCACAGCCGATTGAGTGACAGTGGCCACCAAACACACAGCACTATATCCTATTGATTTCGGCAAATCCTGAACAATGCCATTTGCATGCTTGTTTCTGTAATAATAAAGATATGCCATTCAGAATTAAAGGACCGGCCAGACTAGTGGCAACTAATTGTGTTGTGTGTAATGAGTGCAATTTCAATTTGATATAACCCTCAGCTTTTCTTGCAGCACTCGCTAAGTACTTTCAAGTCTTTGTGGGGAAATAATTGATTTTTTTTGTGCTGTGGGCACAAGAAAATTATTATGATCTTTTGAATAATGCCAAAGAAAGGACCATGAATGATTTAAATTGGTATGTGAAGAAGGCTTCACTGTGGATTGCAGTTTGACTGACACCCTACTAATGTAGTATCTAGATTAGCAATTTTTAAGGAGGCAGCCAATGTAAAAACTGGTAAAACAGAAAAACATTGCTAACGGGGATTTTGATTTTGTTCTCCAGCAAGGGAGAACAATACGGTCATTCCATGCATGTCGGACAAGCACTACACCGTTTATTACATAAATGCCCTCGTTTTTGTCTTTATGCCATGTGAGTTGGAGGTTACATTTCAACTGATAAGTTTTACATTATATTAAAAAAAAAAATCTAGATGCAATAGCTCAGTGCAAAGTTACCCCAGCAGCTGAAGCATATTGGGCATGAGGGGCTGCTGTGGATATTTATAACATCTATTCCACTGTTCAGCTTAACCCCGAGAGAGAGAAAATTGGGAGAGCCCTTTTTGCCTAAAAGAAAATTATCTTCCCCTCCTTTCCGATATTGCTCACCTTCTCCTTATCACACATTCTTTGTCATATTATGTGGCAGAGATCTTCCAAGCCATCTCAAATCTGAGACAGCTGGCACTCTATCCTCAATATACTTTTACTTGGAATTAAGTCTCATTGATCTCTACTGAGTTTGGTTCCAAACCATTGTGTTTCAGATCACAGCCTATGTGCGTGTGCCTGCGTGCTATCTGCCAGCCCAAGATCAGAAAATTATTAATTGCCCAGTTTTTAAAGCATTTAACTGATCAATTGATTAGGCTTAAATAAATTAACCCGAGAAATCACCTAACATTTAATAAACAAAAGCTACATTTATTGTTTAAAGAGATGGTCATATTTAAAATTTTCCCCTTGTTCCTATAATACACCAAAGTCATTATTATTATTTTTTTAAAAAATATAGTTCCTGAACCTTCAGCCTTGGACCTCAAGATTTAAAAAAATCCCCATTGGATTCATCATGGAACAGCTCAACCCTATGCATGTCTGCTCAAAAGTATGTTCCACTTAGTTCAATGGAGCTTACTTCCACGTAAGTGGATGCAGGATTACAGCCTTTTTAAAAAATAAATAAATAAAGCTGATCAATTCACCAGTTGATTAGAGTTGGTGGTGTCCATTGTAAACTTCTGCATTGATTTTAAGCAGATTCGCACAGAAGTAAATTTAATTCAAATTGATGGAACTTCCTTTTATGTGACTAGTATGGCTGGGAGTGAAATATCCCTTAATAATTGCGCTCTGTGTGTGTGTGTGTGTGTTTGTGTGTTTAAATCACCCATCTGCACATAACCAAATATACACATTCTCCAAAATGTATCACCTACCTATAATCAAACATGTATAGGTAGGTTTGGATCAAATCTACATGTTCATCAATGGCTACTAACTAATTGCATCTACAGGACACAGGCTTCTTCTGTTTAGGCCTCTTTTCTCCGAAATGTAGAACCTATTTTCTTAGGCAGCCCCATCGCCGCCAAATGTGTGCATCTCGTGAGAAGCAAACAAGCACATCTCTCCCCTGTTTTCAAATACAATTCCACCTTAAAATGCATACCTTCCAAACCTTATTCTTCAGAGGCGGGAATGTTGTTAATTTAGTTGGTCGTAACTAAATAGTTTCTAATCTGGAGCAGGAGTCTGCTGAGAATATTGGACAGTTTAAAGGTTAATCACCATCGCCTGGTTACACAAGTGAGGCAGAACTAATTCCTGCAAAGGCAAATGGCTTCCAGTTTTATCAGCAGCGCAGATTAGAAGTGTTAATATACAGAAGAGAATAGATGCTCAAGGGCCAGTTTTCCCCTTATCGGCAAACTTTGCAACAGAACTCGGCTACTGCACAACCTCTGCACTTTCTATAATAAGGCGACTCATTTTGCCTCTCGAGCAGAACTATCAAACAATCCTCCCCAAACCACTGCCACCAAAATCAGGGTATTACAGACCACAGCTAATTGGAAGATCACTATAATGAAGTAAAAAGATAAAATACTTTTGGCTGCAGGCCTAAAACGTGGATCAGCACAACATAGGAAGCTATCTGGCTATGTCACATTCAGAGAGATTTACATAAACAATAAACTCAAACCGACTGCCCCTGCAAATACATCTTTGTTTACAGCTAATGCAATCTAAAGCACTGGTTGTAGAAAAGAAGAAAGCAAGGCGGGGGGCGGGGGGGAGAGGGAAGGAGAGGGGAGAGGAGATGTATTTACATATTTCAAGTTATCAACAGATCCAGTAGCCACCGACCCAAACACCCCGCAACCCTGGTTATTTTGAAATGTACTCCATGCAGAGAAAATGTGCTAAGATATGCAAATAGACACGCTATACAGTATTTAAATATGGGTGCTCTTCAACGTTCGCCTGTGTTTCCTTTGCCGGAGGAGAACGGGCACCTGCTCTTGCCTAAATACAGCTCTTGGGCGGAGGAAAGGCAGGACAAGCAAGGAGAGGAAAGCGAGATCCATCAATATTGCAACTGCTATATTTCTCAAATAAAATTTATTGACAGGGGACTTGGTGGGTTTGATTGTTTGCTAAGGGAACGCTTTCCAAACGGCTGAAGACAATGAGAGGGCAGTGCATAGGAAAGAGTCAGATTAATGCAGAATGATAACAGTAATTCTGTCTCCGATGCTAATAGCTGCACTCTCTCTGCTCTTAAAGACCTGATCCAGTTTCTATTTACTGTCATGGTGACACCGGTCCCATATTCTAGCGTTCTTAGAGAAAAGCCAGAGGAGCTCAGAAAGGCATGCAGTTTGATTTATGAGGCAAGATGCATAGTTTTAACTGCAACAGCAATAACCCGGTTGTCACTTGCCTGCCACATGTTGCCATCTATGAGCCACATCTCCCACAAGTCGTAAGCCAATGCATTGTAATGGCATGGGATTTTTGTGGAAGTGTTAACGAAAGGTGACAGAGAAAGCACACCGACAAACAAATTCTGCAGGGGAAATAAAAGGACAATTGGTATATGAAAACCTTAAAGAAGGCTTAGAGACAGAAGGGGCTCTTTGTGGAAGACAGGAAGGCGTATTGGGTTAGTCAAGAAGAGGGAGAACTTATCAAGAACAAGGGAAATCTTTGTCTGAAACTCTGCTTTCCCTGCTAATAATGTCGAAATTTATATGCATCACATCACATCAGTGGCATAACATATGCATCACGGACATCTGTAATCTATTCCCATGATTCTTCCAACTCAAAAGATGGAGGTATTATGTACACCTGGTGCACATCATATTGTACAGTGACAGATTTACATGGCCTCCCGTAACACCCTGCTTACAATATCTCTACATTTTTAGTAATGTGAATCAGCCACAATATTGGAGATTCTATTGATCTGTTTCCCACTTAAAGCAAAAGCTGCAAAGAGGGCACAGAACTGAAATCAGACAAGAGAGTGAGTCTGTAATTAAAAATACAATGAGTCGCACAACTAATTCAAGTCCATTGATGCCAGTGGCTCTGCTCTGATTATGACTCAGGACAGCATTCAACTAAATAATTGTGCAAGTGCAAGGATTGTCACTACCGCAATGGTGCATTCACCCCTCTTGTGCCCGCCCCCGTGCACCCCACGTGGTCTCCAAATCTGCTCCAGAAGGTTGGAGGAAAACCTAGAACTGATGTGGTCATTGTGCTGGGGGAGGAGAGTGTTCAGTTGCACAAAGAGAATTCTTGTGCTGATGTAACCTTAGCAATACACTGAATATCGTTCTCTGTTGGTTACAATGCAACGTTTCATCTCATGTCGAATCCTTGGACAGGGTTGACATTCTATGGAGCTTGCTGGCTTATGGGAGGCCACCGGTAGCCACTTTCCGAGAGTCCGTAACATATACGTTTCAGCGTTCAGCAGGCATTCGACGGAAATATTGACATGGGGCACTTCAGCACGTAGAATCCCAAACAATGCAGGTGGTCTCTTGGAGCTAGTCCCTGTGATTACGAAGAGATGAACTTTGTGAGGATAAGATGAACTGAGAAAATTTGAAAAAACCAGGGGTTTGGGGAAATAGGGAGTTATCACCAGAGGTTGCATACAGATGAAATAATAAAGGGAGAAGGGGAAGCATGAGAACGGCACTGTGAACTTAAGACACACAAGAGTTGTAGCATAGCAGCAAACTGGTATATCAGCTAGCTCTAAGGAATGAGTGAATCTGTTGGTTTCTCATTTCTTTTCAGTCTTTAGTTCTCCCCAGAGACATCTGATTGGCCACTGTGGGAAACAGGACCAAGGGCTAGATGAGCATTTGGTTTTATCCAACAGGGCTCTCAGTCTCCTGTCTTAAGAACATAAGAGCCCCTTTGGAGCAACACTGCCTTGGGATGGAAGAAGCTCAACTGCCTCCCATCAAAATAGATGGTTAAATGTGCCTATGCATTTAATGTGTCTATTTTCTACTTTAAAAAAACCCACCAAAACAGTTATAGAGTTTATCAGGAGAAGAACCATGGTGAGTGAATGAACGGAAAGTTAACCTTGTCCTTCCAGCATGATGAATAGCCACCACACACCAATTTCCCAGCCTTTCTCCCCAGAAGAGAAGCTAGGAATATGTGGAGCTGACTCAACCACTGGCCAGACCTTTGCTGACTTGTAGCAGCTCTCCAGGATTTCAGAAAGGAGTCTTCTCCTGCCCTATATGGAATTGAACCTGGCAGCTTTTTTTGCACACATAGTATGTGCACTAGCACAGAGATATCGTTCTTTCCCTGATGCCAATGGCAGTTTACTTCTCAGGGGACACAGCAGCTTGGAGGAAGGAGCTTGACCGATACCGTAGCACAGGGAGAAAGCGTGCAGATGTTTGTGCACTTTGAAATTATATACCTTGGGTGTGGGGACTAACGGGTGGACAGCAAAAGTGGATCCTGCAAGCCAGAATGGTTGCAGAGACTTGTACTTCCAAGGTTGCAAGGATGAACAACCACCTGGTCTGAAGAGCTCACTGCCCCTTTCTGTATTTGAATATATAGCTCACCTGCCTATCTGTTAGGACACATGGACTGCTTATATTAATGTTTAAATTAGGACTGATGGATTATTCATATTGTTAATGTGAGCTGACATGGTTTCCTTCTCTCTCTCCCCCCACCCCCTTTTCTGTTATACTTGCAATCACAAGTATTTTAAAAACCACTGCTGGCAGGGAACAAGGCCATCTTGCAGGATCTTATGGCATGTGGATATATTTACATGAGTTTCCTAACTACATAATTACGAGATATTACTTAAATCTTAGATCAAATGCATCACGTATTGTCACACTATATCATATTATAAGAACACCCGTAGTTATAATTTCTTCTCTCTTTTTTGGTACAGAATAAAAGACCACCAGTTTTGTTGAAAAATCTGGAGCGTTTGCATTCTTCCCTCCCAAAGCAATTTCTAAGTGGTGATTGCCATCCCATCCCACAGTTTCCTCACCTTCCTGATCGATTTTTGGAAGATTACTGCTTCTCCAGCTTTTTGCTACCATTATCAGAGCTGTTATCAACACATGTGACACCAAAGCCCTTTGCTCTTTCTTTATAATTTATCTACTGGCTAATGTGGCCTAACGGCATCACAATTGGATTCATTTGCAGTTTGTGCCTCTTAGTCTTATGGTCTTCTGATGCCTTCCCAAAATAGCCTGCACAAGTAGGGAGGAACCTTTGGGCCAGGATACTCCAAGTGTGTCTCAATCGACTCTCCACTGGCCACACCCCCTCCCCAGTCACGCCTTCAATTGGCCCTGCTTCACATCCTCTGTATTTTTGCTTGGCTGGGATGTGTCCTTGAACTTTGATAAGGCTTATCAGAGTTGCCGGGGTGCCTAACAACAACAACAATAATTTTATTAGTTGCACCCCACCCATCTGGCTGGGTTTCCCCAGCCACTCTGGGCAGCTCCCAGCATATATAAAACTTGAATTAAATAGGGGGGGGGCAGGTAAGCCCCATCCCACATAATCCATCACATGATGTGGCATACATGAATGGCAATGCCCATTAACTTTGGGGGGGGCTGGGGCCCTCAAATATTTTATTGGGGGAGCTGAAGACCCCTCAACCCCTAAGAGTCAGCTCCTATGCCTCTTACTTGCCTGCAATGAGGATAGAGATCTGAGTTCACTGTTTTATGGCTCTGTTGGATTTTGACAACTTCTTATGAGCAGCTGCCCTTCATTATTTTAAGGATGAATTTGATGGTATCTCTTTTTACCCTTATTCCTGCCCTCTTCTCAGACCCTCCAAGTGTCCCTATTTTCCAAGGACAGTCCCAGATTTACAGAAGCCATCCTGGTTTCTGATTTGATTCCAGAATGTCCCACTTTTCCTATTTTCATTGGAGAAATGTTAGAGAGCACGGAGTTATCAGATCCCCCAGCCAAGGAAAAAAATAACTATACAACCTTTAGAAGACAACAGAAGGCAGCCCTGTATAGGGGAGGTTTTCTAAAAAATGTTTTATTATGCTTTTATATATGTTGGAAGCGACCTAGAGTGGCTGGGGCAACCAGACAGATGGGTGGGGTATAAATAATAAAATTGTTGTTGTTGTTGTTGAATAGGGTGTTCATATTTTCATTGGAGGGTATGTCTTTATACTGAACAGTGGGAGCCTATAAATTTACCAAACAGATAATTAGAATGGCCTTCAAGAATACACATCTTTACCATGGCGAGTAGACAAGATGGTTTCCATCCCCTTTGCGGTCCAGGGACCTCTGTCCAGATACAACCACTGCTTAAAAATAAATTACATTATTTATCTCTGCATCCTCCCGCCACCACCAGGCAACCTAGCCATCCTCCTCTGTTGTTTAGATTTTCATTCCAATTCCATCACTTTCCCCTTCCGACAGACAAGGTTCCTCAGGAAGCCAGCCTTGCAGCTTTTCAGAAAAAGATTAGATGCCCATCTTCCTGGGGTGCTTTAGGATATTGTTAGGGTAACAATTAGGGACGCGGGTGGCGCTGTGGGTAAAAGCCTCAGCGCCTAGGGCTTGCCGATCGAAAGGTCAGCGGTTCGAATCCCCGCGGCGGGGTGAGCTCCCGCCGTTCGGTCCCAGCGCCTGCCAACCTAGCAGTTCGAAAGCACTCCCGGGTGCAAGTAGATAAATAGGGACCGCTTACTAGCGGGAAGGTAAACGGCGTTTCCGTGTGCGGCTCTGGCTCACCAGAGCAGCTTTGTCACGCTGGCCACGTGACCCGGAAGTGTCTCCGGACAGCGCTGGCCCCCGGCCTCTTGAGTGAAATGGGCGCACAACCCTAGAGTCTGTCAAGACTGGCCCGTACGGGCAGGGGTACCTTTACCTTTTTAGGGTAACAATTGTGGTTTCAAACCACTGTTAGAAAAAAGTATGGGTGAAAGACTAGAGTTAACAGGATGAAGGGACAAATGTTGTGCTTTTGAAAAACAGGGATGGGAAGCACCTGACTCCTCAGATGTTAGGCTACAAATCCCATCATGCTTGGCTATGGACCACGCTGGCTGATGGGAGTTTGAGCCCAGCCAAATCTGGGGATCCACAGCTTCCACACCCCTGATTTAAAACAACAACCAGATACATTTATTTTTTTAATTATTAGCCCCTTCATTTGCAACTTAAAACACCATGGGTAAAAATAACAAAAACAACTTACTGCCTCCATGGAACTTGTGACACAAGAGGTTGTTGGCATTAAGAGTGGAAGGCTGGTATATTCCTAGGTTATTTTAGCCTCAATACAAGACCTCCCTCTGTTTTTGACCCATCTTCCATCTCGAAACGTCCAAAACAATTGCTTTCAGGTGATTAAAAAACAAGCAGCCTTCTAACACACTCCAGGCATCTTGGGGTAGGGCGCAGAATGTTTTCTGCCTTGTGTAAAAATCACAAACCCGAAGGCATTCCCAAATAATTATTCCCTTGGCCGTGTTGCAGTCATCTCTGCAAACCCTTGAGCTGTCAGCTCCATCCCGCCAGTGACGGCTCCCTCTCAAACTACATCTGTTACATTAGGGATTGCATGATGACCCTGACTCCAAAGATGAAGCAACGTGCCCTGGAGCTGGCAAATCAATCAGGTTACACGCCTCCACTTTAAGCCAATTTCCAATTATTTCAGGTGCAGGTTTTAACATGTGCGGCTTGCCCTCCCACTCTGTTCCCTTTCTTAATTAGCATATTAAGACCCCGTCTTCCCCATTTCCACCCCAAAATAGGAGCCCGAAGGCATCTTGCAAAGCCAGTGATTCTCAATTACACCATCTCACTGATAGCCATGATGGCTTTTTTTTTTCTTCTTCTTTTGCAGTGGGTATGACTGGGTAGATATACCTGAGTAGCTGGTTGGTGAAACTTATTTCAATTACTTGCTCAAAGGAAGAGCAGCAATCTGAATTAACAACCAGCCTCCCTTCCTATTGGAATGCCCAGCTGAAGATAGGAAGTGCATAGCCAGGCATCCCCAAATTCGGCCCTCCAGCTGTTTTGGGACTACAGTTCCCATCATCCCTGACCACTGGTCCTGTTAGCTAGGGATGATGGGAGTTGTAGTCCCAAAACAGCTAGAGGGCCGAGTTTGGGGATGCCTGTGCATAGCAAAGGGTTTCCTTTCTTGCCACTCCAGAAGACAAGTTGCTGGGAAATAAATGGCCATCAGCAAGCGTGTCATAAGACTGGCAAACAGAACAAGTTAAAGGAAGAAGAGAAAGGTTTGGATCCTAACTTCCCTTTTGTGAATGAACAGACCTTGCTGGGGGTTGGATTAGATTACCTTTGGGGTTCCTTCCAACTCTACAATTCTATGATTCAATGACCTTTCCTACCTCTTCCTTCCTCTGTATGTCCTCTCTCTCTCTCTCTGTTGTCCCCCCTGGGGGTTGGAAGAGACCTTTCGGAACAGGATGGCCACATATCCTATTTTATTGGCTCCTTAATATGAGTCTTAATATGAG